GGTGTGAGTTCCAAATATCTCTAACGGTCACCCCATTGTGAGGTTTTATTTGTGCGTGAAGTCAGAATGCACTCACTGTTCCGAAACGTGATTGTTAAGCAACAGGACAGTTACGCCTCGATCACACCTACAGCGTCATTGCATTTTGGTACATTAGAAGTACATTCATTTCCAATGGAATGCTGCGTTTGCCTTGCAGCATTGCATTGCAGAGGCAGTTGCAGTGCGTTACGTATGCATAAAATTGTATGCATAGACTTGACAGAAAGTAGCAAAAGGTGAATGTTGAACTTTTGTTGCACACATATCCAGTGGGGTAGAAGGATTACTGTTATACTATTCCAGGTATTCCTTAAAGAGGTAGGGTTTCAAGTGTCTCCGGAAGGTGGTCAGTGACTCCGCTGTCCTGGCGTCGTGGGGGAGCTTGTTCCACCATTGGGGTGCCAGAGCAGTGAATAGCTTTGACTGGGCTGAGCAGGAACTGTGCTTCCGTAGAGGCAGGGGGGCTAGCAGGCCAGAGGTGGATGAACGTAGTGCCCTCGTTTGGGTGTAGGGTCTGATCAGAGCCTGAAGGTAAGGAGGTGCTGTTCCCCTCACAGCTCCGTAGGCTAACACCATGGTTTTTTAGTAGATACAAGCTTCAACTGGAAGCCAGTGGAGTGTGCAGAGGAGCGGGGTGAGAGAACTTGGGAAGATTGAACACCAGACGGGCTGCAGCGTTCTGGATAAGTTGTAGGGGTTTAATGGCACAGGCAGGGAGCCCAGCCAACAGCGAGTTGCAGTAATCCAGACGGGAGATGACAAGTGCCTGGATTAGGACCTGTGCCGCTTTCTGTGTAAGGTTGGGTCGTACTCTGTGAATGTTGTAGAGCATGAACCTGCAGGATCGGGTCACTGCATCAGTATTATACACACCTGGCATGGTACATCAGGTGAGCAGGAGCTCTAATTAAGGTTATACGACATACACTGTGTGCACAATTATTAGGCAAGTCAGTGTTTTGACCATATCATCATTATTATGCATATTTCCCAACTCAAAGCTGTATAAACTGGAATGCTTATTGGATTTAAGCATATCAGGTGATGTGTATTTGTGTAATGAGGGAGGGTGTGGCCTAAGGAGATCAACACCCTATATCAAGGTGTGTATAATTATTAGGCAGCTTCTTTTCCTCAGGCAAAATGGGCCAAAAAAGAGATTTAACTGACTCTGAAAAGTCAAAAATTGTAAAAAGTATTTCAGAGGGATGCAGCGCTCTTGAAATTGCTAAGATATGGGGGCGTGATCACAGAACCATCAAACGTTTTGTTGCAAATAGTCAACAGGGTCGCAAGAACCATGTTGAGATAAAAAGACGCAAATTAACTGCCAAAGATTTGAGAAGAATCAAACGTGAAGCTACCAGGAACCCATTATCCTCCAGTGCTGTCATATTCCAGAACTGCAACCTACCTGGAGTGCCCAGAAGTGCAAGGTGTTCAGTGCTCAGAGACATGGCCAAGGTAAGGAAGGCTGAAACCCGACCACCACTGAACAAGACACATAAGTTGAAACGTCAAGACTGGGCCAAGAAATATCTGAAGACAGATTTTTCAAAGGTTTTATGGACTGATGAGATGAGAGTGAGTCTTGACAGACCAGATGGATGGGCCCGTGGCTGGATCAGTAACGGGCACGGAGCTCCACTTTGACTCAGACGCCAGCAAGGTGGAGGTGGGGTACTGACCTTTTCGGGTTGAAGATGGACTCAAACTAAACTCCCAAACCTACTGCCAGTTTTTAGAAGACACTTTCTTCAAGCAGTGGTACAGGAAAAAGTCTGCATCTTTCAAGAAGACCATGATTTTTATGCAGGACAATGCTCCATCGCATGCATCGAAGTACTCCACTGCGTGGCTAGCCAGTAAAGGTCTTAAAGATGAAAGAATAATGAGATGGCCCTCTTCCTCACCTGACCTAAACCCTATTGAGAACATGTGGTCCCTTCTTAAACGGTCGATTTACGGAGAAGGAAAACAGTACACCTCTCTGACCAGTGTCTGGGAGGCTGTGGTTGCTGCTGCACAAAACGTTGATTGTCAACAGATCAAGAAACTGACAGACTCCATGGATGGAAGGCTTATGACTGTTATTGAAAAGAAGGGTGGCTATATTGGTCACTGATATTTTTTTGAAATGTCAGAAATGTTTATTTGTAAATTTTGAGTTGTTTGTTTATTATTCTCACTTTAACAGATGAAAATAAACAAGTGAGATGGGGAACTTTTCGTTTTTCATTTAGTTGCATAATAATTCTGCACACTAATAGTTGCCCAATAATTGTGCACACATAGATATTCTCCAAAGAAAGCCAAAACCTCACTTTTACTTTCTTAAATATTCAGATTTGAGGTTTATTAACATTTTGGATTGACCGAGAGCACTGTAGTTGTTAAATAATAAAATGAATCCTCAAACATACAACTTGCCTAATAATTGTGCACACAGTGTACAGTTACATTTTACATTCGTATGATAACAATGGGAAAGGCTAACCTACGGTCCATACAAATAGTACCGCGTTTTACACCATCTTCACTGGTCTGACAACATGCAGTTGGAAAAAAAACTAATTAGGAAGAGAATGGGTTTTTACTTTCATCTTGTCTTAGATCCAGTGGTGTAAAATACTTTAGTAAAAATACTTTAAAGTACTACTTAAGTATTTTGGGGGGTATCTGTACTTTATTATTTATATTTTTGACAACTTCTACTTTAACTTCACTACATTCCTAAAGAAAATCATGTACTTTTTACTCCATACATTTTCTCTCACACCCAAAAGTACTCGTTACATTTTTTATGCTTAGCCGGACCTTAAAATGGTCCAATTCACGCATTTCAAGAGAACATCCCTTGTCATCCCTACTGCCTCTGCGGACTCACTAAACACACAAGCTTTGTTTGTAAATTATGTCTGATTGTGCCCACGGCTATGCGTAAATTAAAAAAAACATGGTTCGCATAATATAAGTAATTATTGAAATGATTTATACTTTTACTTTTGATACTTAAGTATATTTTAGCAATTACATTTACTTTTGATACTTAAGTATATTTAAAACCAAATACTTTTAGACTTTTACTCAGGTAGTATTTTACTGGGTGACTTTCACTTTTACTTGAGTCTTTTTCTATTATGGTATCTTTACTTTTACTCAAGTATGACAATTGGGTACTTTTTCCACCACTGCTTAGATCTGCAAAGGTGTAGGGAGGAAATAAGGAGATTAGGTCTAAATGAGATACGAATAAACAAATGAAACTGACTATGAAAAAATGGGAAAGAACATGACAGGTAGGTGTGTTATAAAATGTTTACAAAAATGAAAACAAGTATTGAAAGAGGTGTGTGTTTGTGCATGTATGTGCGTCTAAAAATACAAAAATGAATGTGTAGCTAAACACACAAATCACCTGTAATCTGTAAGAGAACAACAAGATCATGTATTGTTGTCACAACTGCAGACAGAGACAGGGACTACTCATAAAGCCTAGAGGTAGTAGGGGGACTTCAGACATGGCCATGAAGAGAGAGACGGCAGGGCAGTGGAGATCTGAGGTGCAGAGAGGAGTGGAGGAGAGGTGTGTGTGTCTGACAAAACTAAAAGTGGATGTGTAGCCACAATACAGGTAAACACACATTTCACCTTTAGTCTTGTAAAAGAACAAGAGCATCTGAATTCTCCGGTGTGTGAGTTTCAATTCAGTACATTTTCATGCAATCTATGTACGACTAATAATGAATGCTGTCCTAAGTATTGAGTAACTATTTACCTTGTGAATTCCATTAATTTTATACTCAAAAAGCCTACTAACAAGGACATAGTAAGCAGAATAAGGACAGTTGGAAAATCTCAATTGAGGACATTTGGAAAATCTCCGTTGCATTTCATTGATTCCTCGCGTCCTCTCTCCTCACCTCTCGCTCAAAACCCATTGGAGAAGAAGGTCAGCGTGAAGGAACCTGACATTCCCTCTCTCTGACCTCCTCCTCCAATGGGTTTTGAGAAGGAGGCGAGGAGAGAGGACGTGAGTCAAGGAAATACAGTTTAGATTCTCATTTTACATTTACATTTTAGTCATTTAGCAGACGCTCTTATCCAGAGCGACTTACAGTTAGTGAGTGCATACATCATTTTTTTTTATTTTTTATACTGGCCCCCCATGGGAATCGAACCCACAACCCTGGCGTTGCAAACGCCATGCTCTACCAACTGAGCTACATCCCTGCCGGTCATTCCCTCCCCTACCCTGGACGACACTGAGCCAATTGTGCGCCGCCCCATGGGTCTCCCGGTCGCGGCCGGCTACGACAGAGCCTGGATTCAAACCAGGATCTCTAGTGGCACAGCTAGCACAGTGCAGTGCCTTAGACCACTGCGCCACTCGGGAGATTGGAGAGAGAGAGAGAGGAGAGAGAGAGAGAGAGTAATACAGACAGTCAGCCCACCCCCTCACCAGTCTGCCAGCCTTCTCCCCTCTATCTGCCTCTGCTCCATCCCTATGGTTAGCCACCACCGTTCATCTCGACAGCCTCCTCAGGCAGAGGGAGATAAAAGGGCGGGGCGATGGAAATGGGAGGTGCCTCGAGGAGAAGAGCAGAGTCTCGGTCTCTGAAAAAAAGAAAATAATGTGTAGCAATAACACTGCTAAACAAAACTAATGGTCCCTGGACGTCATGGACCAGTCCATGGAACATAACTTCACAAAAAGTTTCAACACCATGGTTTTCAGGTGGTTTTAAATGAAAGAAATACATTCACCTTTTGTTTTGTAAGAGACCAACGAGCATCTGTGAATTCTCCGGTGTGTGAGTTTCAATTCAGTCAATTCAGAAATCTATGTAACACTAATAATGAATGCTATCCTAAAAATGTTGTAACAATTGACTTTATGAATTGACTGAATTTAAATGGAATTGACACGTGTGAAAGGAAAGGTACAATGAGGGAGGTCAAAACAACAACTCTTCTCCTCTTCCTGTCCTTCCTGTGAGCTGGTCGGCTAATTTGACTCCATCTACATCTTATTACATAATATAACACCATAGAAGGTGAGATTTATGTTAACTAAATACTGCTTGTATAGTGTAGATAGTGGCATAAATATTGGAACAGTGTGGTAAAGTTGGTAATACTTGCTGTTTACTCATGGAAATTGTATTTCAGATCAAAGGATGAATATGACAGGCAAATATTTAGACAGCAAACTGTTGTTTCAGGGTATTTTCTAATCCAGAAACAACAGCTATACATTTTCCTCATATTAATCCATTGATCTGAAATACCAATTAGCCTACATGAGTATACTGCAAAAATGACCTACTTTACTTAACTGTCGCAATACTTATAACACTACCTGTGTTGTGGGGGAAAAAACGTACCCTTGAACTCGGCTTCGAAAAGCAGCTGATGAATTTGAACCTTGACTGCTGCTTTTCTTGGCTGAGGCAGCCTCTTCAGGGTTGGCATGGCAACGAGGGTCTCTTCATCCTCCTCCCTGTGAGCATCAGGTTGGGCTGCATCCCTCTCGACGGCTTGGAGGAGCCTCTGCTGAAATGAGTTGAGTGGATCTGGGGGCTGGTACCTCCGATGACGCCTGGTGTGACGATGTTCCTCTTCGTTTCTCTCCCCATTTGTCTCCACGGCCACATCCTGTTCAACAAGGTCCTCAGTGGTCACTTCCACCAGGGTCATAATAATCTCACCGGGTCCCAGATCCAGCGGTGCTTCCTCCATTTCAGCATCTTCCATGGCCGCACCGGTGGTGGTCATACTTGTGGATGACGTAGACGTCGTGGAGGGTCTCGTTGCACCGGTGGTGGCGGTGGTCGCACTTGTAGATGACGTAGAGCGTCTCACTGCACTGGTGGAGGCGGTGGTCGCATTTATAGATGACGTAGAGGGTCTTGATGCACCAGTGGCGGCGGTGGTCGCATTTATAGATGACGTAGAGGGTCTTGATGCACCGGTGGAGGCGGTGGTCGCACTTGTGGATGACGTAGAGGGTCTGGCTGTAAAATTGCCACTCAATGCCCTAGGCACAATAAATGGATCCAGAAAAGAAAGAATGTGGCCGAAGCACCAAGGCTGCTGGCCTGAAGCTGCTGGCCCAGACCTCTTCTTCTCTTTCTCTTCCCTTCTCTCTCTCTGATACCTGTCCCTGAGTCCTCTCCACTTCCTCCTACAGTCTTCTTCTACATAGACATGAACATGATAAGCCAAAGCACCACCTAGCATAACTATAATTATTAGATAGCTATCATGGACATGTCACCTACTGTACACAAAGACACACACACAAGGTTATCTGACCAAATGATCAGGGGTAGTATCTACCATCATTTCTATTACTATTTATCTCACACACACACACACACACACTCTCACATGCACACTCACACACTCTCTCACATACACACTCACACTCTCTCACACAAATGGTTATTTGGCCAAATTATCATGGGTAGTAACTAGCATCATTTATATTACTATTTCTCTCTCTCACACACACACACACACACACTTCACTAGCTAGCTAGCCACATCTAGAACAAGCTCACTACTAAACTGACCTGGCAATCCTGTCATGTTTATGTCCATGTAGCTGTCAGCAGTTGTGTCAAAAAGACACGGTTTTGAGGATACTGCGAAAATTATTCTCTCCTCCATGTGTCTAACAACCTCATGCGACCGCCTGCAACACGTGTGTAGATACCTGCATTCAGTATAGTTGCGTAGCTGCGCAAAATGTTATGCAGCATTGATGCAATGACGCTGTTGGTGTGATCAAGGCGTTAACCCGCGTTTCCCTCGAACCAAGGCACGCTGCCTGCTAATTATCTGTAGTTTCAACTTTTATATAGTTTTATTTTCTAACAATGGTTTGAATTGAAGTGTGTTCCACCTCCTCATTAATTCACATAGAAGTAGCCCATTTCACTGTTGCAGACAATTTGTTTGAGCCATTATTATTATGATCATTATTATTAAGTAATGTCATTATCATTAGTAGGCTTAGTATAGCAGCCTTGTATAACCACCATCAAGCTGTAGAGCTAAGGGCACGTCCTGTTTAGCTGTGTTAATACCGCAACTTACTTAGGCTTATATTTCAATAAATAGGCTACTGTATCAATCAATCATTTGTTCATGTCATCACACAGACGAGTCATTCATGCATTGAAATGCAATGAAGTGTTTTAGTTTTTTAACAAAATGCCAAAGGGAGCTTTGAATAATTAGCCTAAACAATAAATGAACCGCAATTCGCAAATGCATGCAACTGTTTTTAGCCTTTGCTGTAATAACGTCTTTATATACTGAACAAAAATATAAACGCAACTTTTAACAATTTCAAAGATTTTACTGAGTCACAATTTAAATACATTAATTAGGCCTTAATCTATGGATTTCAGATGACTGGGAATAAAGATTTGAATCTGTTGGTCACAGATACCTTTAAAAAAAAGGTAGGGGTGTGGATCAGAAAACCAGTCAGCATCTGCTGTGACCACCATTTGCCTCATGCAGCACGACACATCACCATAGAATTGATCAGGTTGTTGAGTTTGGCCTGTGGAATGTTGTCCCACTCCTCTTCAATGGCTGTGCGAAGTTACTAGATATTGGCGGGAACTGGAACATGCTGTCGTACACGTCAATCCAGAGCATCCTTGCGACAGGGGCCGTGCATTATCATGTTGAAACATGAGGTGATGGCGGCGGATGAATGGCACGACAATGGGCCTCAGGATCTCGTCACGGTATCTCTGTGCATTCAAATTTCCATCGATAAAATGCAATTGTGTTCCTTGTCCATAGCTTATGCCTGCCCATGCCATAACCCCACCGCCACCATGGGGCACTCTGTTCAAAACGTTGACATCAGTAAACCGCTCGCCCTCACGACACCATACACGTGGTCTGCGGTTGTGAGGCCAGTTGGACATACTGCCAAATACTCTAAAATGACCTTGGAGGCAGCTTATGGTAGAGTAATGAACATTAAATTATCTGGCAAATATCTCTGTTGGATATTCCTGCAGTCAGCATGCCATTTGCACGCTCCCTTAAAACTGGCATTGTGTTGCGTTATAAAACTGCATTTGTAGAGTGGTCTTTTATTTTCCGCAGCGCAAGGTACAAGTATGTAATGATCATGCTGGTTAATCAGCTTCTTGATATGCCACACCTGTCAGTTGGGTGGATTATCTTGGCAAAGCAGAAATGCTCACAAACAGGGATGTAAACACATTTGTGCAGACATTTGACAGAAAAAATTTTCAGAGCATGAAACATGGGGCCAACACTTTACATGTTGCATTTATATTTTTGTTCAGTGTATATAATTTATATACTTTGAGAAGTAGAGCAGCAGAACATGATGATGATGATGATGGTGGTGGTGATGATGATGAAGATGTGTCTTTGGTCTTCTCTGCTCTAATGGACCAAAGCTCCCAGTGACTCCCTGTAGGCTCTGCTGCTGGAGCTGATCAGAATCTCAGGGGAACTCTCTTCTAGCGCTGACCCCATTTAGTCGACTGGTCGATTGTTTGGTTGATAGGCTGTTGGTCGACCGAGATAATTTTTCCCATGGTGCACAAGCCACCTGTCTGATAGGCTCCTGTCTCAGTAGATTCATCCATTGGGGGATGGCACAGTCCATCAAAGACATGTGCAACTGAAATTGTATATGTTTCTATTATCTAAGAATAATGGTGCAACACTAATAAATATATAATTATTTTATAACAAATGCGCTTTCTCCCGCGTTGGATAGCGGTCGCTGTCCGCGGTTCTGAAACATAATCTTCAGTGCGCCGTTGAATTGGTGCCTTTCCCTGTATGTTGCTTTATAAATTATCCATATATATCTACAGAAATAAGACAGATCCTGCTTGTGTTGCTTGTTTGAGTGTTTGTTTAATAGCATACTGATTCCGTGAGCACCAAGCCTCACGCAATGGCAAAATGTCGGATAAAGCGATTTCACAAATATATAAATTTATATCGTTTCGAAATTTCGACCAATCAATTGGTCAAAGGAACAGACTACTCTCGGTCGACCAAGATTTTTTTTAGTTGGGGACAGCCCTACAGTGTTTTATTCATTTACACACCTCACTGAAAACTACAGTCTTACACAACATCCAATTGTTAGAATAACACTACTGTACTGAACACAATGTGTATCTTCAACACAGTAGATAGAACCAAGCCAACATCAGCTGGTGTAGAATAGATCCACACTCTCTGAGGCTCCTCATCAACTCTGTCTCTGTGGTGAAGGTGTGACATCATCACCACACTGTAGAGGTCTGAGCTGGATCTCTCTGTTTTATTCCAGTCTGATTGAACAACTAATACATGATGATAGAGATCCCATTGGCAGACTGAATCTGGAGGAGCGATGCACAGTGTTGATTATCCTCTCTCCCTCTGTCTCTCCCTCCCTCTTAGGTGTGCATGTTTTTCAGACGATGTATGGCTGTGAGTGGGATGATGAATCTGGAGTCACAGAGGGGTTTATGCAGTTTGGATATGATGGGGAGGATTTCGTAGCATTTGACCAGAAGACAAAGACATGGATCGCCCCAACACCACAGGCAGTCATCACCAAACACAAGTGGGACAGAAACATGGGTTTCAATGAGCAGCAGAAACACTACCTCACCCAGGAGTGCATTGAGTGGCTGAAGAAGTATCTGGACTATGGGAAGAGCACTCTGCAGAGGACAGGTACAGAGACACATGACATAGCTCGACTTACACAGGAATTATGTGATATTTCATTATCAGGAATAATTTCAAAATCAATTGTTTTTAAGAGACATGAAATTGTTGTTTTGAATGACAATAGTATTTTCTTTATCATTTAACTGTCTCTCTACTGCTACCCTCTCTGTCTTTTTCTCTCTACTGCTACCCTCTCTGTCTTTTTCTCTCTACTGCTACCCTCTCTGTCATTTTCTCTCCCATCTCTATCTGTGTGCGTCTGTCTATTCCCCCTCTCAACACTACACTACACTCCCTCCTTTCCCCCTTCTCTCTCTCCAGTCCATCCCTTAGTGTCTCTGCTCCAGAAGACCCCCTCCTCTCCAGTGACCTGCCACGCTACAGGTTTCTACCCCAGTGGAGTCATGGTGTTCTGGCAGAAAGACGGACAAGATCAGCATGAAGATGTGGAGAATGGAGAGACTCTCCACAACGATGATGGAACCTTCCAGAAAAGCGTCCCCCTCACAGTGACGCCTGAGGAATGGAAGAACAACAAGTATCAGTGTGTGGTTCAGGTCACTGGTATCAAGGAGGACTTCATCAAGGTTCTGACTGAGTCTGAGATACAGACCAACTGGGGAAAGACCAACAGGGGTAAGAGGGAGAAATATACACTATACCCAACCCTACTGAATTGTGCACAATATTGCTAATTTGTTCACTCATCTGCTCAGTAAACCTACCTTTCTGACCGCATGTTCTCATTGATCTCCTGAACTTTTATTGACATTGAGGGATGCTGCTTGGAGTTCATTTTAGATGAAAATGTACCATCTAGCACTGTAGTCTGAATGCTCTATTCTGATGATTACAGGTGCAAATGACCCAAACACCACTGGCTCCGCCCTCATCATTGGAGTGGTTGTAGCTCTCCTGGCCATTGTTGCTGTTGTTGTTGGGGTCGTCATTTGGAAGAAGAAGAGCAAGAAAGGTGTGAGGAGAGAAAGACCTCTTTCTATTGTCATATGTAGGATACACTGTCATCTTAGATATTATCAGAAGTGATTTACTTAGTAGTTTAGAAGTAGTAGTCAAGTCATAGTACTGGTTTAAACAAGCAATAGTGTTGTAGTTAGTGATGGTAGAAGTATGTTTAATTTGATATTTTATGTGATGTCTGCAGTAGAAATACAGTATTCAAACATGTTCTCTTGTAATATTCCAACAAATCAGTCAATAATAACATCACGTTTATCTCTGTTTCAGGCTTTGTTCCAGCCAGCAGTAAGTGGGGACCTTCATGTTTTTCGCTATTCTGAAAGGATCACAGATTTTTGTTTTGTTTTGTGTTTGACTGGATCCATTTAAGAATGTGTTTGTGTCTTTTTTCCTTGTAGATTCTGATGCTGGTTCAAACTTAGATGTCAATTGATGTAGCTACTTAGTTAATATGGAAGGTTTTATTTACCGTGAACCATGCATTAGGAACTTGTAATTTAACCTGAACTCATTATCTTTCAATTAGTCTATTTTTCTTACATTGCTTTCATTTCTGTTTTAGCTTCCGACACTGACTCTGACAACTCTGGGAAAGGTGTCCAAAAGACTTGAGAGACCTCTCTGCACTTCTGTAACATCAGAGTAAGTCACTTAAGGTGTCCTCATATTAATGAGCAAACTAGAGAAACAACCGCTACCACACTGGAACACACTGCTACTGTTTGGAATGGGTTTATGTGTGTAACCCCTCTCTTCTCATGTGTTTTAGGAAGGAGCTGAAGAGGACAGGAACTAAATGGAAACAACAAACATTGAACTTCCCAAGAACGTAACACATACGTATATTTACACACACATCAGTCTCACACATACACCTTTCTCACACACAAGCTCACACACACACTGTAAACACATAATCCATATATAAAAAAAATCTGCTGTCAGAAATATTCTTTGGTGATTTCCTTTAAACCGTTTTACTTTCATTTAATCCATGGTTTGGCTTTTTAAAAGTTGTGCTGTAATTTTGTTGAATTATATAATATAATATTGCCACTGTGTGATAGACGTATCTCAGTCTTACAGGTATAATAGAATCAATGGAACGCCATGAAAGTGTGTTTCTGGAAAGGATTAGATTGTTGAGCGATGTTAAATTAAGATCTGAATTTATATTATTCTACAAATAAAACATAAATTTGTTTGTTTTTCCCCTAAGTGAAGCCACCAAAACAATCACATTTAAAAGATATTGCTGTAAACTGGAAAAACATCATTATTTTGTTTGAATGTGTAGTGTAGCTGCACATATGTGTACGTTTTGGTGGTATAAGATACAGTAATTGTGTGACATGTTATAACTTTACTCACACTAACTTGTTTAATTGCATGGCCATAAGCCAGACAAGGTCTGTCCACATGTTCCATTTGTAAATGTTTCTCTTTTAACGGAAGTGACTTTATTTTTCGAGCTGTTTTGATTTTATGATACGTTTGATTTATGATGGGGCATAACACTTTTTGACTATACGTTCTGTAGAAATAAGTTGGTGATGGGGCAAGTGAACAAGTATTTTATTGCAAGTGTAAATGTGATCCATTTAAGAGATACATAATCAACCAGCCAAACAAGACAAATTAGAGACCAAATTCATGCATTCTGTAATAATGTTCTTACACCTTTCAATAAAGTCTACAAAATTGGAATGAAAGTGTCATACTGGGCCTTTTAATCATGTTTGCTGTAAGATATTATGTTCTAAACAGCGAAGGACTTGAAGTGCAACAATATCATTTTGTAAATGGGCTTAAGAAGAAGTAACATAGATTTTGATGACCTGTATGAAAAATGATGGGGTAGCAGGTAGCCTAGCGCTTAAGAGCGTTGGGCCAGTAACCGAAAGGTTGCTGGTTTGAATCCCTGAGCAGACTATGTACACATCTGTCAACGTGCCCTGGAGCAAGGCACTTAACCCTAATTGCTCCTCTAAGTCTCTCTGGATAAAAGCGTCTGATATGTAAATGTTTTTATAAAATGCTTCTTAGAAAGGGGGATAATCTCTACACTGTTTCGGCACCTATTTCAGTCCATGTCAAGCACGGGCGTAACTAAATAGGTGCCGATACTCATTTTGGGTGCGGTACTGTTTACTTGTAGGTGTAGGAGTTCCACAATTATTTTGTAACAATATAATAGGCTTTTGGATAAATTACATTCTAGATATTTTGTTGACCTGTATGAAAGATGTTTGAATAAAATGCTTATTAAAATAGGGGATTGTCTATGCACTGTCTATTTTGTCCTGAACATTATATGATAGAGATTAGAACAAATCATGTTCAGTATCTTCACTTGTCTGACCACAGCACTGCTCATTTTCATTCTCTTCTAATCAGGGACTGATTCAAACCTGGAAAACCTGGTGAGTGAACTCTGACCTATGAAACAAATTATATTTATTGATCAATAAACTGCCAGGGAGAACAGAGCAGCTGTGGCAGTACTTCTGCCCTCTAGAGCTGAAATTTAATAGCCTATCATATGGTATTCACCAAGACCTGTTGCACAGAATCCTGCCTGGCAACAGGTGATATCAATGTTGGTAATACTATTTTATGGAATGTAGTTGCTATAAGGGATTTAATTTTCTTTTTATAACATACTGGGCCCTATAGTATAGTCCCCATGTAACTACTGCACACACTATTCATATCCACAGTGACTCATCTATCAAGCTGAGAAAATAATAATTAAATAATAATAATAATAATAATAATTAGTCATTTAGCAGACGCTCTTATCCAGAGCGACTTACAGGAGCAATTAGGGTTAAGTGCCTTGCTCAAGGGCACATCGACAGATTTTTCACCTAGTCGTCTCGGGGATTAGAACCAGAGACCTTTTGGTTACTGGCACAACGCTCTTAACCACTAAGCTACCTGCCGCCCAAAATGAACATAATATGGTAGAAAATGTTACTTCAGGTTTTATGGCAAATTCATTCCATTAATTTAAAACTTCCTCTGATAGCACAAACATTTTATTTGTAGAATTTCATTTGTACAATGAACTCCTATACTAAGGTAGACATTTACGGAAGGGTGCCAACCAAACGATACCCGGGCAAACACATCTGACTGGTTTTGGGACATGTATTTGTGTTTCAGGAAACAGTTTGTTGGAGGCAAATACGCTAGACAAAACTATAAGGACTCTGAATTTTACTTCCTCCTTCAACTGTTGGTTATGAGGTTATGTTATTTGACCGTTTAGTAGGCTAAAACATTGGACTAAAACTCTTCAAGTCACAAAGTTGTCAAGTGTATTTCACAAGTCTCAACAGACTTTACAGAGAACATTTTAATCAAGGTTAATAGTATTGTATTAAACAATCATACAAACCTTTTCCAATGACTGGCACTGGTAAATAACTGGTAGATTATCATATTGTACATTTGAATAGGACTGGTAACAGTTGCAGCAAGTTGTGACGGCATGTAAGACCTTCAGTTTAAACAATAGAGGCCAGAGTATGCGGTTTGAAAATGGTCTTTATTTGGAGCAGTGCTGGGATCAGTTGAGAGAGAACACAGTGTGGTCTGTGTGGTCTATGGAGGCTGATCTGGGATCAGAACATGCCCTTCCTGTAGCGGTGGATCAGTTCTGACACGTCCTCCTTACACACCTTTATCCAGCCGTCCTCCTGCATGTGGTACACTGGACAAACACAGACACAGTTACACATAAAGGTATTGTTTACATTTTATTTTCCTATGGATTCAGCATATGACTACTTTTTCATATGGATAAATCCTTATGAGATTAGATTATAATTGTATATTTAGTTATAACCTCTTGAATGGAATTCACACCTGGAATTTACACAACAAACAAACAATATCTCAACATACATCAAACTCTAGCCTGCACCTATCAATGCTTCACATGGTCTCACATGAACTGACTTAGTCAAGTCAAATCAAATTAATCGTTATAGAATGAGTATAGGTTCAGAACAAGGTCACTCACGGTTGACCACTCCTCCAGAGTAGGCGTCTCTGTGCGTGGCGTGGGTGATGCCACGGCGGCCCAGCTCGTACGCCTCCTCTACCGTCATGTCCTCACGGTAACCGCTGTCCATCACTCCGTATGCATAGCTGCTACCACAACCAGTAGAGAACATCCGACCAGAGAGACGTGTGGCGTTATCATCCACGTAGTACAAACCAGGGCCCTGGACAGCAAGACACAAATATATTGATACTCATCAACAGACATGACAACTGGAGACAATCCAATGGTAGTCACAAATGGTGGGTACCATCAGGATGAAAATGTAAGCTATAAAAATCAGGCTTTCAAATAAACACTCACACAGACACACACATACCACACACACACACACCACTCACACACACACCAAAAACACACACAAACACACACTCCACTCCCTCCCTGTACCTTGTTGTCCCAGCCAACGATCATGCTGCCCATGGAGAGGCCCATGCCCCTGTAGCCCAGCATCATGTTACACAGCAGCTTAGAGGCTGCAGACACTGAGATCCTCTGCTTGTTCCTCAGTTTGTACAGCCTGAGACACAAAAACTCACTGTATGAGACAAGGCAGTCAGAGTGCTAAAACACTGGTTTACTTCCAGATAGATTTGAACACCCCAGATACATTAAGGCATTAATGGGGCTTGGAAGCAGACCAAGAAGACCAATTTAGGAGAGGGCTAGTCCAGATAACAATTATGGCCAAAACGATACATAGATGGTATCTACAAAGTCACTGTTTGATATTGATATGGTTGAATTTATGTCCAACGCATTTGTTTTGAGAAATGGAAAAGACATTGATTGGTACATTTTCTCTTCATCCAACCCTCCCTGGCCCTCCCCTTGCCCATAAGCCTGACAGACAGCCAGACAGACAGGCATCAATGATTGTGATATTAACACCATGTAACTGTATAGCGGGACTCAATCTAACAGAGACAAGCTCGAACAGACCTGCACTCCTTAGCCAGCAGTCTCTCCCAGTACTGGCAATCAGCAGCACTGCCAGACATGGTCCCCAGCAGGTAAGGATTGATCTCTATCACCTTGTTAGCCTCCTTCGACGCTGCAGGGAAAGACAAATACATGGCAAAGGGGTTAGAGAACGATTGCTTTATGTTTGGTTATAGATCTCTGAGATCCATTCTGCATCTGAAGGTGCGGTCTACGACTGCTGCTGGAACAGAAATCTAATGGACCAACTCAAGGCTGATCACATCATCCTTCCAAGGTAAATCACATCAAAATGGATGACCTTACAATTACCACTTGTAGATTTGGTTTAGTACTCACAATACAGTAGGCAGTTATAGCAGTAACAGTAGAATGCTATTACTAGTTTCTTACTGTGTATAGGTACAGTATTGTCAGATGAAGGCACTGTGTATGCCTGAAATTAGAGACTAATAGCTACTTTTCTTACATTATAAATCTGTACCACGTGAAACCAAGACCGCACGGCTGATGGGCTAAAGTGGTTTTGGTTATCAAGGAAAGCTAATCCCTATGGAATGTGATGTTTACCAATGTAGCTGCCAGCTGAGGCCCTGGAGTCCACGGCCACAATGACACCATGGCGGAATTTGAAAGCCAGAGTAGTTGTTCCATGGTTCAGATCTATGGACACACCACCTTCACGGCTGCATGACTTCAGGAACCCTGAGGGCTAGAGAGAAAGAGAGCATTATAGAGTGGGACTGTGAAGTAGATTGATCCAATCGTTTAAAAAATGTGTGATGCAGCAGCGCTTGTCAGTATTTTGTCAGGTGGTATGCATGCGTGCGCGCGTATGTTTGTGCGTGCGTGCTTAAAAGTGTGCTTGAGGTGAGTTGTGAATCTCCATTGAACCATGCTTTAGTAAGGTATAGTTCACTTCACATAGGACACATTAGATCATTTAGATCATCATATTATTGTCACAGAAGAAACAGAAAATAACTGCAGAAAATACTCACATCCACTCCAACAGGGACAGCAAATTCCTGATTCGGTCGGTCAATAAGATGCCCTACTCCTGTTCCAAGAATCTGCCCACGAAGTCCCGCGTGGGACTTATAACCACTTACGTCGAAAAGTGCCATAATGATTAAATCAAATATAAGAAGAATGTAGACTATACCTTAATCAAATTTGAAGCGAAAATACAGCTTGGCTTCGCTCTGATGCGACAAGGAAATATATTTCCTAATGCAAACGAAACCGAAAGGGTTTTTAAGGTACATTTTCATTCGTGATCGAAAAAGTAACCCAACTGTAGCTTATAATATGCGTACTCATTCCGAGTATTATTTGACAATAGCCTAGCCACGCCAAGTCATACGGATAAACAATTGTTAATAGTGATTCAGTTTTGACATAATTTTTCACAACAATATACAGTAAACTGACTGAAAACGTTTCACACATTTGGCCAATCGCAGAGCATCATTTGTGGGGTCGTCATCAGTAAATATGAAGACTTACCTGTCAGAGGTTTACCGCGCTCAAGGAGTCACTCACAAGGAGTCACATGGAGAGAACTACACTGAACAAAAATGTAAATGCAGCTTTGCACACTCTTGGCATTCTCTCAACCAGCTTCATGAGGTAGTCACCTAGAATGCATTTCAATTAACAGGTGTGCCTTGTTAAAAGTTAATTTGTGGAATTTCTTTCCTTCTTAACGCGTTTGAGCCACTCAGTTGTGTTGTGACAAGGTAGGGGGGTATACAGAAGATAGCCCTATTTGGTAAAAGACCAAGTTTCTTCAAGTGCAGTCGCAAAAACCATCAAGCGCTATGATGAAACTGGCTCTCATGAGGACCGCCACAGGAATGGAAGACCCAGAGTTACAAATGCTGCAGAGGATAAGTTAATTAGTTACCAGCCCAAATAAATGCTTCACAGAGTTTAAGTAACAGACACATCTTAACATCAACTGTTCAGAGGAGACTGTGTGAATCAGGCCATCATGGTCAGATTGCTGCAAAGAAACCACTACCAAAGGACACCAATAAGAAGAAGAGACTTGCTTGGGTCAAGAAACACGAGCAATGGATATTAGGAGAGTGATGGAGTGCTGCATCAGATGACCTGGCCTCCACAATCCCCCGACCTCAACCAAATTGAGATGGTTTGGGATGAGTCGGACCGCAGAGTGAAGGAAAAGCAGCCAACAAGTGCTCAGCATATGTGGGAACTCCTTCAAGACTGTTGGAAAACCATTTCAGGTGAAGCTGGTTGAGATAATGCCAAGAGTGTGCAAAGCTGTCATCAAGGCAAAGGGTGGCTATTTGAAGAATCTCAAATATAAAATATATTTTGATTTGTTTAACACTTTTTTGGTTACTACATAATTCCATGTGTTATTTCATAGTTTTGATGTATTCACTATTATTCTACAATGTAGAAAATAGTCAAAATAAAGAAAAACCCTTGAATGAGTAGGTGTTCTAAAACTTTTGACCAGTAGTGTATATAAAAATGAAGATGCTGTGAGCTGAAACTGCTATAAGGAAAAGGGAAAGCTAAAAGTGAAGAGGGAAAACTCAAACACGCGTTCATGAAAAAGAATGTAGACTTTTTATTCAATCAATCACTTTCCAATATTTCACCCACTGCATATAGACACAGCTATAGCCTAGACCTACTAAACCTGTTTAAAATGTATTGCTAACTACAGTTCATTGAACTAAGATCTTTATGTGACGTTTTTTTACGGCTTTGCATTGTAGTGTCACCTAGTAGTCACGTCTTGTCATTATTAGGTGTATTGTATTCACTGATTTTATGTCTGAGTATTGTGATAAGCCTCTGTGTGACTGTATCTTTGTCGTTTCTGAGCGGTCAGGTTCAGGCGGTATGCATCCGCTGGACTGTCTCCTGCACTACCTCCAGCTCCAGAGGGACTATTTTCTCTGTCAAAATAGACGTTGTACCTGGGCGATACTTGTATCTTCTCTGCCTGAGCGAGAGAAAGAGAGAAGAGAGAGAAAATGAAAGAGAGAGAGAGAGAGAGAGAGAGAGAGAGAGAGAGAGAGAAGAGAAGATACTGTTCTGTCAAACAATATAGTTTTGGCAAATATGCTGTTTAGAATAATAGTTGAAGCAGCTGAGGATGGTGACACCATTTTCATTTACATTCACATTTACCTCTTGTCTTTGTACTCTGACTCCTGGTACGGCCTGATGTAGTCCACCCCCTGTTTAGTGATGACACAGATATCTATGTTGTTGCCTGAGCCCAGGTCACTCATGATGCCAGAGTGGATGGCATCCCGGACCAACTCCTTAGCCTCCTCCAACTAGAAGGACATCGTGATGGGGAGTGAGTGAAGGGACTGGGATGGGGGAGGTAGGTCTACAATACATCCAGCTTAATGTAGACAAATCTGATGCCTTCTTTATGGGGAGTCCAATGACTTAACTCTTGAGACTTGAAGTATATCGATGTGATGGCATATGAACTAAATGTATGACAACCCCTAGCCTGCCTAAGGAAAAGTCACTAACCTCCATATTAGGTTTGAACCTATCCTCCAGAATCCCCAGAGCAGCCAAGTCACCAGACCCTACACAAAACACAAATAGGAATCAACTAAATGTCATTATTTATAGATTATTCATGATGGCTAGTCAATTAATCAACTAATAATGGCCCACACAATAACAGTATATGGGTGTATGCTTATGTATGCTTGACACAGTAGCAGTTCCTCACCCATTGCAAGGTATGGCACATTGTCTATGCTCCCATAGGGCCCCACTGTGTAGAGGTGATTGCCGGTGCAGTCCACCCCTCCTAGGATTAGACTGGCCCCTATCTGGCCCTTGTACCTAAAGATACACATATGAGATACATTATGAACAAACAAACCTATCTGACATGAAAGGCGGTTACATTGGAGCGGCTATAGTGGTGGATGAGGTGAGTTATTTCAACAGAATGTAATGTTTAAAGGGCCATGGTAAAAAACATATATAATTTTGACCTCTCGGATGGTCAGTTCTTGCATCCATAGCTCTGTCGATGAATTTGAGAGTGGTAACATTTCTCCAGCCCCATCCCCCAGCTGTTTACCAAATCAGTGGCTGGGTGCCCACTTTTTTGTTTTTTGAACTGCAAATTGCCCCTTAAATGCTTGAATGAAGTGAAATATGTAATGCTCTAATGCAGTGGTTCCCAACTCCGTTTCTTGAGTACCCCCAACAGTACACATTTCTGTTGTGGCTCCGGACAAACACACCTGATTCTACTAATCATCAACCCCTTGACAAGTTGAATGAGGTGTGTTTGTCTGGAGCTTCAACAAAAAAGTGTACTGTTGGGGTTACACGAGAACCGGAGTTGGGAACCACTGCTGTAATGGAGAGTGGTAAAGACACACACACACACACACACACACACACACACACCTGAATAGCATGTCCTGTAGTATGTTTACTGCCATCACGACACGTGGGTTCCTGCCGCTGGTCATAGAAAAGATGGTGAGGTTGGAGGAGAGCAGGTCGGTGGTCTTCTCTGTATCTGCTGCAGTTCCTGCACCACAGCAGCTGAGAGAGGGAGTAGACAGGAGAGAGAGGTCAGGAGAACAATGGATGTGTGGGCATGGATATCTCAAATCAAAGTGACAGACTACATTTTTTCACTTCTCTTCCACTTCTCTCTTCCACGCATGACAATCAATTCCATTCTCCACATAAGTCACACATGGACTATCCCTTAAAGAGGTGTAGGCCTACTCACTACATATTGGGGGAGATGTAGTGGATCTTGGCACACATCTTGTCAGCCACCACTTCACCGGAGGTGGCCCGCGTGTCTGCTCCCAGAACCACTCCATCCTGCACAAACAAGGACCCAAAGAACACTCCATTTTACTATCAGTATACACAATTCATTTCAATTCACTTTGTCCATCATTATTGTCTTTTTTTAAGTCGCATGAAGACAGGCAAGAATCATGATAATATGTTACTATGTAAAATTAACTGAAATTGTCCCACTATATGGAATCTTCCACTTATTAGAGATGCCTGCCCATTATCAGTGGACATCACTCTCACCTTGCACACTACTCCAGCTATGGTGGTACCTGTCTTCATAGGCTTAGGTGCCTTGGTATGTCCTCCCTCAAGCAGACCGTCCAGTGCAACATTTCTATTTGATAAATATATAGACGAATAACACACACTGTAACAAAATACCAATACAGTGTACCACAAAATCTTACAAAGAAAAGCCCTATCTAATGATGACCAGATCAATACAATTGCAATTAGCTGATTAACACATAGAAGTGTAACTTTCATTAAAAGAAAATGCAGAAATAATCAAATGCAACGTTTTAAATGATTTAGACTTGCGGGTCTTTTTAGTTGTTGTTTTTTACACGATTATACAAGATACATTACTTTCACTTTTGATTTAGGCTTGATATGAGACGAGATACATTTTACGAAGTTTACTGTTTACCAACAAAAAAAACGAAACATTATTCTCCTTAAAGGTAAAAGGGAAATCATACCTGGAGACGTTCTCAAAATTAAATCCCGATGCAGGTGTTTCGAGAACATTTGATAGCGCCATACCTGAAGCGGGTTATTTTGCACTCCCTGGTAAGATTTGGACTACCCTACAATCGCGCATTTCAAGTCCCTCAAGAGGTCGCTGTTTTCTTGACCTGATGTGACCAAATGTGACTGAAGGACGCAGTTTTATCCGTATTTTTCATCCGTGTTCGGGCAATACTGGATAGACACTTTATGGACTCTCAAATCAAAGGAGTTAGCACAGGCGTAAGTTAATTGTTTTTCATATTTTGTACCTGATATTGTTATACATTTTCCTAAATTTAAGCTGCGATAACAGTACATTTTGGGACGAACGAACCAGAATTTACACTGAGGATTTTAATTCTAGGTTGCCTTGTTGATTTTGTCGTTAATTCATCTCAGTAACCTAAAGCTGAACTTCAGGGAAAACGTTTATACATTTAACTTGATAATAATAGCCTTATTTAATATTTTCCGACGAACAAAGTGCTGAATTTACTTTCGTTTTCGAGTCATTCATCTGCAACTCAAGAAATTACCCTACACTTTAGCACTGATCTAGGATCAGCTTAGCCTGCCTAAATCCCAACCAAAGCCTATCCATTGACTGTAAACCATATCGTAAGGAAGAACATGCAAAACTGAACTTAGATCATATATAATAAATATGTCACAAATATATTATCATACAAATATATCATTATATCTTATATAGTAATTGTATGCTCTCCCCATCTAACTGATTATACACGTATTAATGTTTTTTTTTTATCTCCTACAGACCACCATCTTGGCGGTGACGTTCAATGGAGGGGTTATCATTGGCTCAGATTCCAGGGCGTCCATCGGAGGGTAAGGAGGATCTCCAACACCTATTAACACCTGGAACCAAGTTAATCATATTGCCCCTCCTTTCCTCTAGACGTGTCTTTATGATCAAATAAAAGTCTGTGACACACAACATATTAAATAAATCAGCCATCACTTAAAGCAATATATAGCAATATATACATTGGAACGTGTCACCAGGATCTCTATCTAATGTGTCTCCAGGAGTCTCTATCTAATGTGTCTCCAGGAGTCTCTATCTAATGTGTCTCCAGGAGTCTCTATCTAATGTGTCTCCAGGAGTCTCTATCTAATGTGTCTCCAGGAGTCTCTATCTAATGTGTCTCGATCTCGACTCCACCCACAGGTACTACGTGTCCTCTAAGACCATCAACAAGCTGATCCAGGTTCATGACAGGATATTCTGCTGCATCGCCGGCTCCCTGGCAGACGCTCAGGTCGTCACCAAGGCTGCTAAGTTCCAGATCTCCTTCCACAGGTATAGACCACCCTTTCCCTGTCTCTGTCCCTGGCTGGTTCAACATAGCCCATGATTGTTGATATCAAACTGTTGAAGCTTGTATTATTATCAGCAATAGTGAGACCTTCATTTTAGATGTGTTCTTAGTAGTAATGTGCAGCTTACATTTACGTCATTTAGCAGGCGCTCTTATCCAGAAAAACTTACAGGAGCAAGTGCCTTGCTTAAGGGCAGATTCTTTCACCTAGTCGGCTCGGGGATTCAAACCAGCAACTTCTCAGTTACTGGCCCAATGCCCTTAACCACTAGGCTACTGCCTCTTGAACTACAGTAGACATCAAAACAATCTGTGATACAACCATGTCTTCACTGTGTCTGTCCTGTGTGGTAAGTATTCAGATGGAGTCCCCTCCTCTGGTGAAGGCAGCAGCGTCCGTTTTGAAGGAGCTGTGCTACAACAACAAGGAAGAGCTGCAGGCCGGCTTCATCACTGCAGGCTGGGACAGGAAGAAAGGGCCACAGGTAAAGCTCTGGGGCATAACAAACAGTCAAACAGACATATAGAATAGAACACAATAGAATAGAACACACACACACGATTCCTAACCGTTATCTCACCTCTAGGTTTACACGGTGGCCCTGGGCGGTATGTTACTCAGTCAGCCGTTCACCATCGGAGGATCAGGGAGCACGTACATCTACGGTTACGCCGACGCCAAATACAAACCTGACATGAGCAAAGAGGAGTGCCTGCAGTTTGCTACAAATGGTAAAAGTAGATTTGTCCTGTAGAATCTCATAGGCTTCATTGTTTATATCCAGATGGCACTGTTTTCATATAGGATAAAAGACGTCAGATAAGACATTTTATTTTATTTTATTGAAAATATCTTCCAGTGGGACAGGAGAGTGATTATAGGATGGGTTTGCTATGGGATTGTTGGCACTGGAACACAAGAGAGCTGTTTCCCGAAAACGTGGAACATTATGGTCTCATACCCATCTCTACCTGCCATCTGATCTATTTTCCTCTCTTTCCTCCCCCTTCTTTTCCTCCTCTCCCCCCCACCTAGCTCTTGCCCTAGCTATGGGCAGAGACAATGTCAGCGGAGGCGTTGCACACCTGGTAGTGATCACCGAGGAGGGGGTGGAGCATGTGGTCATCCCTGGAGACAAGCTGCCCAAATTCCACGATGAGTAGAGTGACACTACAATCAACCAATCAGTGACACTCTGTGAGATGAATTTGGAACCTTCACTCAATCATTCACTGTTGTTCATACATGCATAACTTGGTGTTCATAGGCCTAACTATTCACATCAGTTTTGGGACTGCGGATAGAAATAAATACTAATGATTGCCAAGAGTCTTCTTTCTTCTGGCTATGTGTTTCATAATCTACTTCGTGTTCATTTAGTTTATGTGCTTTATATTTTGTTTACCTAATGACCTCTGGGTGGAATCAGTAAAATCGAAGTAAAAAATATGTTTACACTGCGTGTAAGTGTGTTTGATTATAAATATATCAATCTGACAGTCCCCACTATAATTGAGTAGGCTATTTCTGAGGGAATACGCCCTATTTAATTTGATGCATCATTAGCAATAGATAATTAGTAAATATTATAAGCCTGTTATAACTAATGCATAACTGTCTGTGTATTTCAACCTTCAGAAAGACACCTTGACTTTTCCACATTTTGTTATGTTACAGCCTTATTCTAAAATTGATTGAATAAATAAAAATCCTCAGCAATCTATACACAAGACCCGATAATGACAAAGCGAAAACAGGTTTTTAGAAATGTTAGCAAATGTTTTTATTTATTTGTTTTTTTACAAATACCACATTTACATAAGTATTCAGACTCTTTGCCATGAGACTTGAAATTGAGCTCAGGTGCATCCTGTTTCCATTGATCATCCTTGAGATGTCTCTACAGCTTGATTGGAGTCCACCTGTGGTAAATTCAATTGATTGGAAATGATTTGGAAAGGCACACACCTGTCTATATAAGGTCCCACAGTTGACAGTGCATGTCAGAGCAAAAACCAAGCCATCAGGTCGAAGGAATTGTCCATAGAGCGCCGAAACAGGATTGTGTCGAGGGTACCAAAACATTTATTCAGCATTGAAGGTCCCCAAGAACACAGTGGCCTCCATCATTCTTAAATGGAAGAAGTTTGTAACCACCAAGACTCTTCCTAGAGCTGGCCACCTGGCCAAACTGATCAGTCGGGGGAGAAGGGCCTTGGTCAGGGAGGTGACCAAGAACCTGATGGTCACTCTGACAGAGCTCTAGAGTTCCTCTGTGGAGATGGGAGAACCTTCCAGAAGGACAAACATCTCTGCAGCACTCCACCAATGAGGCCTTTATGGTAGAGTGGCCAGACGGAAGCCACTCCTCAGTAAAAGGCACATGACAGCCTTCTTGGAGTTTGCCAAAAGGCACTTAAAGACTCTCAGACCATGAGAAACAAGATTCTCTGGTCTGATGAAACCAAGATGTAACTATTTGGCCTGAATGGCAAGCATCACTTCTGAAGGAAACCTGGCACCATCCATATGGTGAAGCGGGGTGGCAGCATCATGCTGTGGGGATGTTTTTCAGCGGCAGGGACTGGGAGACTAGTCAGAATCGAGGGAAAGATGAACGGAGCAAAGTACAGAGAGATCCTTGATGAAAACCTGCTCCAGAGCGCTCAGGACCTCAGACTGGGGCGAAGGTTCACCTTCCAACAGGACAACGACCCTAAGCACACAGCTAAGACAACACAGGCGTGTCTTCGGGACAAGTCTCTGAATGTCCTTGAGTGGCCCAGTCAGAGCCCGGACTTGAACCCGATCGAACATCTCTGGAGAGACCTGAAACTAGCTGTGCAGCAACGCTCCCCATCTAACCTGACAGAGCTTGAGAGGATCTGCAGAGAAGAATGGGAGAAACTCCCCAAATACAGATGTGCCAAGCTTGTAGCGTCATACCCAAGAAGACACCCGAGTGGCGCAGCGGTCTAAGGCACTGCATCTCAGTGCTAGAGGCGTCACTACAGACTCTGGTTCGATTCCAAGCTGTATCACAATCCAGCCGTGATTGGGAGTTCCATAGGGTGGCGCACAATTGGCCCAGGGTCGTCCGGGTTTGGCCTGGGTAGGCCGTCATTGTAAATAAGAATTTGTTCTTAACTGACTTGCCTAGTTAAATAAAAAGACTTGAGGCTGTAATCACTGCCAAAGGTGCTTCAACAAAGTAAAGGGTCTGAATACTTATGTAAAATTTCAGTTTTTTATTTTTAATAAATTAGCAAACATTTCTAACGTCCTGTTTTTGCTTTGTCATTATGGGGTATTGTGTGTAGATTGTTGAGGGGAAAAAAAACAATTTAATCAATTTTAGAATAAGGCTGTAACCTACCAAAATGTGGAAAAAATCAAGGGGTCTGAATACTTTCCGAAGGCACTGTATTTACATGACAGCAACATACAAATCATTACAATTAGTACATATTGGTACAGCTTAAAACTGTTATATGATGAGTGAGAAAGTTACAGATGCACAAATAGCATACCCCCAAGACATGCTAACCCCTCACCATTACAATAACAGGGGTGGTTAGCACTTTCTCACTCATCATTATTCATGATTCATTCAGGATTATCCGTAATCATGGTAGCATCTACATTAATGTAGAATGTTTACAAACATATTCTATTATTATTTACAGTAAAAGTGACTCCAAAATGACACAATACGTTATTTACCATTCATTTCTATTGGGCAAAAATAATCTGAAACACATCCAAAATAATAATAATAATAATAATATGCCATTTAGCAGACGCTTTTATCCAAAGCGACTTACAGTCATGCGTGCATACATTTTTTTGTGTATGGGTGGTCCCGGGGATCGAACCCACTACCTTGGCGTTTCAAGCGCCGTGCTCTACCAGCTGAGCTACAGAGGACCAAACAGCAAATGCATCCAACACATTTATAGAGTCACATGCTTGATGTAGTCATTGCATGCTATAAATATGGGACCAAATACTTCACTTTTTACTACTTTAATACACATATAAGTGAATTTGTCCCAATACTTCTGGTCCCCTAAAATGGGGGACTATGTACAAAAAGTGTTGTAATTTCTAAACGGTGTAGCCGATATGGATGAAAACACCCTCAAATGACAGCTGACAGTCTGCACTTTAAACTCGTAGTTTGTATCATTTCAAATCAAAATTGTTGGGAGTACAGAGCCAAAACAAAAACTAAACATGTACGTTTTGTGAAATTATATCACCGGCCGGTCCGTGACTGACAATGTAACTTTCATTTTCAGTTTATTCCAGAAAATGGTGGACTAGACAGAAAGGGATGACGGCTCCTTTCTCAAATATATTCAAGAGTTGATTCTTAATACAACAGTAGAGTTGAATAGTAATCGTTCGCGTATTTCCTAAATGAGGCGTCGTTTGGTGTTAAATTGCATGTTTGATTTTTATTTTCATTTCGCGTTGAATCAATAGGCTTCTCACACACCGTGCGCACTGCACAGGTATCAACGCGACCAGCTACTTATTATCTATCGTGCGCTAAACTAAAGTACTTCAATATGTTAGAAGAACCATCAGGGCCTGGGTGGCTATCAGAAGAAGTAAAAACTGGGGTGAGTATAATTTGATGACATGTTTGGAGCTGGAATTGATATTAACCTAGAGAAGTGTTCTCATTGTAAAATGTATAAACCAAATATATTGCCATTTCCAAATGGTCAGTGTCAAAGTAAACTTAACTGTTGAGTCATTCAAATGAGTTATTTAATGATGCCCTCAAGGCAGTTTGGAAAGCACTAAATCAAAATTGTGTCTGTGCTTTGCTTTCAGACCACCATCATTGCAATTGAGTTTGATGGAGGGGTGGTGCTGGGCTCTGACTCTCGAGTGTCTGCTGGGTAAGTTGCTGTTCCAAGTCTTAGAGAGACAATCATTTACTATGAACATTACAAACGTTATGGTCCTCCCTCAACCCTCCGTTCTCCCTCCACCCATTCTCCCTCTTCCATCCTTCCCTCCATCCCTCATAGGGAGACTGTGGTGAACCGGGTGATGAACAAGCTCTCTCTCCTCCATGACAAGATCTACTGCGCCCTGTCAGGCTCGGCTGCAGACGCCCAGACCATCGCTGAGATGGTCAACTACCAGCTAGATGTGCATAGGTATTACCCACTGCATGGCTATTTATTGTGGTCGGCAATCGCTCTAGTGCTTTGTGTAACACATTTGGTTGAGTTAAACGTATGGAAAAGGTTTATAGGCCTACACTGTGCATTTTCACATGTTCTCATGGGGGTTTGCTTATATAGATGCAGTTCAATAATTCTGCTATTGAGCTGTGGCTTATGTGACTTGTGACCTCTTTAACTCAGCATTGAGGTTGGAGAGGATCCTCAAGTTCGTTCAGCTGCCTCTCTGGTGAAAAACATCTCGTACAAGTACAAAGAAGAGCTGTCAGCACATCTCATTGTTGCCGGGTGGGACAAGAGAGGAGGGGGGCAGGTCAGTCATTACATAGAAATGCCACATCTATAAACACTAGTTCCGTCTGTATTAATTTATTTTTGTGTCCCTTTCAGTAAATGTTCTTGCATTTGGAACATTTTAACTGATCCCTGAGTCTCAGAAGAGGTCATTTCAAATTGAACATGTTTGTAATTGTTTTGAGTGTATGCTCAACAAAATGTACCATGAGTACAATTACAGAATCAAACTCAGTTGCCTCAAACTCACAGAAGTTCACTAGTCTGCATAATATTTGACCTTTGCTAGGTTGCTGTGTTCAAGTATTCCCCTCTCACTGACCCCTCCCAGGTGTACGTGACCCTGAATGGCCTGTTGTCCAGACAACCTTTTGCGGTAGGCGGCTCCGGAAGCGCCTATGTCTATGGGTTTGTTGATGCAGAGTACCGGAAGGCCATGAGCAAAGAGGACTGCCAACAGTTTGTTGTCAACAGTGAGTGACCAAAAGTGTACTTTTAAAATAAAATAAATGTGTTGGTGTACAGGTATGACCTAAACAGCATGAATTAGAAGCAATTAAGATGTGTCATTTTTCAATAATATGCTCTCACTCGCTCTCTTTCTTCACCTCTCCTCTCTCTCAGCACTTTCATTGGCCATGAGTCGAGATGGTTCCAGCGGAGGTGTGGCCTACCTTGTCACTATTGATGAAAAGGGTGCAGAGGAGAAATGCATCCTGGGCAACGAGTTGCCCACTTTTTATGATCAGTGAAAACTGAGTTGTAAAAACAGTATCACTCAAGTTGTCGTTGTTATGAAACAGTGAGTGGACATATGGCCACCTTACGAACAAACATTCACACAGGATATAGAATGTTTGGATAGGGGTATGAATCATGCTGGCACAATGTCAATTATTCTCACTACACATAACATTTTCAAAATTATTCATAATTGTTGAAGACACTGATTTTATTTTGGTTAGCCAGCGACTTGAAGCTGGACTGTGTCTTTGGGTGATTCACAAGTAAATAAACGATCTGTCAATCAAACTTTCCTTGGATATTTCTCTGCATGTTTTTTCAACCCCAAAACATCTATTCAAGAAGTCTTCTGCCACCATCAAAAGTTATGCTAATACACGTGTTTAGCAGATGTTATAGCGGGTGTAGCGAAATGCTTGTGCTTCTAGCTCCGACAGTGCTAGATATACCGTATATAATGCAGCGTTCAAAGCAACTGGGAACACGGAAATCTCTGACATCTGACTTCAGTGCGTTCAAAACAACTGGGAACTTGGAAAAAAACGATCTCCAACTGGGATAAATCGTTTTGAATGTTCATCCAACTCGGAATTCCAACTCAGGAACTCAAGCCTCTTTCTAGAGCTCCGCACTTTCCGAGCTGAAGATCACTGACATCATAATTTCACCTCGTATTTTTCAGAGTTCCCAGTTGTTTTGAATGCGGCATAAGCCATGCACTGGTGAGGCCATGGGAATATTTGTAGCAAATTTTATTAATTTTAGGTGATGAGTCATCAGTTACAAAGTGGATATGAAGCCAACCTTAAAATACATTTCCTAACCTGCTACGTTAATTATCCTAACCTGTTGCGTAAATTCTCCTAACCTGCTTGAAAATTCTCCTAACTGCTACGAAAAGTCAAATCTAACGTTAATTTGACAAAAGCTGGGTTCCTTCGAGCCATGACCGGTTCTTCGGCTGTCCCCATAGGAGAACCCTTTTTGGTTCCAGGTAGAACTCTTTTGGGTTCCATGTAGAACCTTCTGTGGAAAGGAATCTACATGGAACTGAAAGGGTTCAACCTGGAATCAAAAAGGGTTCTTCAAAGTGTTCTCCTGTGGGGAAAGCCGAAGAGCCCTTTTAGGTTCTAATAGCACCTTTTTTCTCAGAGGGTAAACCTGTCACCATAGAGTACCACAGAATGAGTCATAATACCCATAAAACCTAGCGGTCAAACAGGGAAATGGTTCCAATCTCTTTTCCACCATTCATTTTTCCCATAGGGGATTTTTGAAACACTTAAAATAAGGGCTGTGTTTCATGTAGGCTTACCCTCGGTGTGACGTTTTTATAACCGTTTAAATCTTTCTAGGACAAGTAGACTTTTATCAATATACTGTATTCGCCTGTATTTATGGGCGGGCGGGCGGGCGGGCGTATAATGTGAATGTCTAGCAACCCAAAGGTTGCGAGTTCAAATCTCATCAGGGACAACTTCAGCATTTTAGCTAATTAGCAACTTTTCAACTACTTACTACTTCTTTGCTACTTTGCAACTACTTAACATGTGAATGTCTAGCAACCCAAAGGTTGCGAGTTCAAATATAATCAGGGACAACTTGATCCCATACATATGGTGTGTCGCTGATTTACGTACAGAATAATTCGAAATGGTTTGAGACCAGGTTGAAAATCCCCTATGGGAAAAATGAATGGTGGAAAAACGAATGGAACCATTTCCCTGTTCGATGCTAGATTTTATGGGTATTATGACACCACTGTGGGGATCTATTAACCACTAGGCTAAGTGTGCGAGCGTTATTGTCTGGTATTTATTATGGCACAGAATAAAAGCTAAATGGAAAGGTGCTTAATACTGTGGAGAAGAATCTTCCCTCTGTTTAGGGCATATGTGAAATTGAAACTAAAACTAAAACTAAAACGGAGCCTCTGAAAACAACTGAAAACAATCCATTCAGTGGAAAGATATCGGCGAATTTGGGGGCTTGCCATAGCTCACCTTTTAATTCATAGGTTATAGATTAAAAACAATTATAGACGACAAAAATGATGATTAGAACGTGCGTGTTCGTTATGGCTGTAGGTCTATGCATTGAGATAACCACATTTTGCGCACCGGGTTTTGACGCATCTATTTCCAAAACTGGACCAATAACTTTTTATGTTTTCGGAAATCTGGTGCGTCTATGGGTTGTAGCGGGGATTCGATTAGTTCTACTATTCGGTGTATCGCTACTCACACTAGGATCTATTAAACCCGTATTGAAGCGCTGGTTAGCGGTGCACTGTTTCCTTGCCCCGGTCTATGAGACCGGGCAACTGATGCTGCATGGAAGTTCACCCGAGAGCGCGTATGTATCGTTGGGGGGTCCAAGATTATGGCTATTGTGTACCGCCGCAACAGCTGCAGCAGCCTTATTTTGGGAGAACACCTTCCCTGACAGCAATGGAGAAAGTAACGGGAAAGAGAAGACACAGAAGGCACGAGTGCTGTTCATGAGAGTCCTCCACTTCTACAGACCTGACACCCTCCTTTTGGTTGGAGCGTTTATATTCCTGTCACTGGCTGTCCTCTGTGAGTATTTTATTGTTTTGACAACATTACTGAGTATTATATGATGATAATGATGATGATAATGATGATGAAGATGATGATGATGACGATGATGGCGAGTATGATGACGATGATGAAGATTACAATGATGAGGAGGATGGTGGTGTGTGTTTTCAGGTGAAACTTTCATCCCATTCTATACAGGAAAAGTGATTGACATCTTGGCTTCCCAGTACAAGTGGAATGACTTTCTCACAGCTATCATCCTCATGGGGCTCTACTCTTTGGGAAGGTAAGCAGATACAGGAGAGAGCTTCCTATCTGTTTTTCACCACTACAGTCTTCGTCAATTTCGCACATGACATATTATAGTTTGTATAATGTATGTATGTAAAGGTTATTGAATACACTGATTTTGCCGCTACAAGTGAACATCAACATCAGATTGATTATTTCAACACGGCTGCAGCTTATGGTGTCTGTTGTAGCTCTTTCAGTGCAGGCTGTCGAGGAGGCCTCTTCATGTGTGCCATCAACAGCTTCACCTCTCGAATGAAAGTAGAGCTGTTTGGGGCCCTGGTGAAGCAGGAGATCGGCTTCTTTGAGACCATCAAGACAGGTAGAGACACATTTATGATTATCCCAAACAAGAACTAATGATCAGTATGCAATCTGTTGTCTTGCTGGAATGTGTGGCACCCTTGTTTGTTCATGAAATGACTGTAACTGAAATGCACTTTCTATTGAACTTCGTCTGTCTTCTGATGTGTGGCTGAATATCTCTTGAACACCCCCACCAGATTGTTCTTCTATGCTCCTTATTCGATGAAGTTGTGACCATTTTCTTTCATGTCTGAACACTCATAGGTGACATCACGTCCAGGCTGTCCACAGACACCACTAAGATGGCCCGGGCGGTGGCCCTGAATGTCAATGTCCTACTGAGGACCCTCATTAAGACCGTGGGTATGCTGTCGCTCATGATGAGCCTGTCCTGGAAGCTCACTCTGCTCATGCTGATGGAGACCCCCATCACCGGCCTGCTGCAAGGCGTCTATGACAACTATTACCTGGTATAGTACACTCTATCTGGAACCTAAAAGGGTTCTTCGACTGTCCCCATAGGAGAAACCTTTGAAGAACCCTTTTTGGTTCCAGGTAGAAACCTTTTAGTTCCAGGGAGAACCCATTTGGGTTCCATGTATAACCCTTTCTACAGAGAGTTCTACATGGAACCCAAAAGGGTTCTACATGGAACCAAAAAGGGTTCTAATTGCCGAAGTACCCTTTTGGAACCCTTTTTTGTAAGAGTGTACTGTTGTTTGTGTCCAGATCAGAAGGTCCTGAAATGATCTATTGGTCCCTGCAGACCCTGAAATAATTAGCTGAAATGATCTAATGCAGAAGGTCCTGACATTTTTGGTTTGAATATACAGTACATAAGATGGTGACTGCTAAATGTACTGGGTAACCTTATAAAATAGAGTCTAGTAAATGTTATTGTGGATTGACTGTTCCTCAGAGGCTCTCTAAGGAAGTGCAGGACTCCATGGCCAGCGCAAACGAGGTAGCGGGGGAAACAGTAGCAGGAATCCGGACCGTACGAAGCTTTAACACAGAGCGGAGTGAGGCTGGTCGCTATGACCACAGGTTGATGGACACCCACAATCTCAAGACCAGGCGGGACACCGTCAGGGCAGTGTATGTGCTCCTGAGAAGAGTGAGTATGCAGGGATCACTCCCTGTCCCCTTAGGCTCAGAAGAGTTGAATGCTTCCAATGTGATCTTCATGTGATCTTCATTGTACGTACTCATCACATTCTGTGTGTGTGTGTTAAAGCTAACAGCGCTGGTAATGCAGGTGGCCATGCTGTACTATGGCAGACTGTTTATCCAGCGAGGTCAGATGAGCACTGGGAACCTGGTCTCTTTCATCCTCTACCAGTCTAACCTGGGAACCAACATCAGGGTAGGCAACTATCAGTGTAAGGGGATCTGTTTGAGCAAGGCGAGGCACAGAATCACTAATCAAAGATATTAACTAACCAATAGTAATGTTGTTATTGCGTAGTACATAGTAATGTAAAAGTTTGGTTAAAGAGGCAAGTCATATTAATGTTAGGGAATTCAAAAGAAACATGTTTAATGTTGGAGATACTGTTGGAAATGTAGTCTAACTATTGTTCATTGAGTTACAATGATACATCTGTATAATACATCTGCCTTCTGCCCTCTCCAGACTTTGATTTACATCTTTGGTGACATGCTGAACTCAGTGGGGGCGGCTGGTAAGGTGTTTGAGTATCTGGACAGAGAGCCCCAGGTCAGCACCAAGGGGACCCTCCAACCAGAGACCTTGACTGGACACATCCACTTCCACAACCTCTCCTTCTCCTACCCCACCCGCCAGGAGCGCAAAGTACTGCAGGTAAAGCTCACCTGGGAGAAGGGTGGCAAAATTCCGGAAACATGAGGCAACCCTAACTGGCAGTATTGCCGTCACCACGTTTTTGCTTTTGCATGTACCCATTGCTAAGTTAGTGTGTCATTGGCTCTCTGCTTGTTTTAGGGCTTCTCTCTGGAGCTAAGGCCGGGTCAGCTGACTGCTCTGGTGGGGCCGTCGGGAGGGGGGAAGAGCACCTGTGTCAGTCTGCTGGAGAGGTTCTATCAGCCTCAGCAGGGAGAGATCCTATTGGACGGTCAGCCACTGCACAGCTACCAGCACCACTACCTACACAGGAAGGTAATATAGAAAGCTACCAGCACCACTACCAACACACCTGCACAGCAAAGTCATAAGACTATACCTACACAGATATTGCCACATTTATATCTCTAAAGAAAGCGTAGCAGTCAAGGAAACCTACTTTACCGCACCTGTATGGCTACCAACATCATAGGTATTTTCGCAGGAGAAGAAACATTGCATTGGTTTTGATTGGCTGATTGGTGATTGGTTTTGCCCTATGATTTGTTTTGCCCTACCAGGTGGCCATGGTGGGCCAGGAACCTGTTCTGTTCTCTGGGTCAATCAAGGACAACATTGCCTACGGCCTGGCAGACTGCTCTCTGGAGAGGGTACAGGAAGCTGCTCGCAAAGCCAACGCCCACAGCTTCATCAGCCAACTGGAGAAGGGTTACGACACAGGTACACTGGCAAATATGAATATTACATATACAGTTGAAGTCGGAAGTTTACATACACTTAGGTTGGAGTCAATTAAACTTGTTTTTCAACCACTCCACACATTTCTTGTTAACAAACTATAGTTTTGGCAAGTCGGTTAGGACATCTACTTTGTGCGTGACACAAGTAATTTTTCCAACAATTGTTTACAGACAGATTATTTCACTTATAATTCACTGTATCACAATTCCAGTGGGTCAGAAGTTTACATACACTAAGTTGACTGTGCCTTTAAACAGCTTGGAAAATGTATGTCATGGCTTTAGAAGCTTCTGATAGGCTAACTGACATAATTTGAGTCAATTGGAGGTGTACCTGTGGATGTATTTCAAGGCATACCTTCAAACTCAGTGCCTCTTTGCTTGACATCATGGGGAAATCACAAGAAATCAGCCAAGACCTCAGAAAAATAATTGTAGACCTCCACAAGTCTGGTTCATCCTTGGGAGCAATTTCCAAACGCCTGAAGGTACTACGTTCATCTGTACAAGCAAAAGTACGCAAGTATAAACACCATGGGACCACGCAGCCATCATACCGCTCAGGAAGGAGACGCGTTCTGTCTCCTAGAGATGAACATACTTTGGTGCGAAAAGTGCAAATCAATCGTAGAAAAACAGCAAAGGACCTTGTGAAGATACTGGAGGAAACAGGTACAAAAGTATCTATATCCACAGTAAAACCAGTCCTATATCAACATAACCTGAAAGGCCGCTCAGCAAGGAAAAGCCACTGCTCCAAAACAGCCATAAAAAAGCCAGAATACAGTTTGCAACTGCACATGGGGACAAAGATCGTACTTTTTGGAGAAATGTCCTCTGGTCTGATGAAACAAATATGACCATCGTTATGTTTGGAGGAAAAAGGGGGCGCTTGCAAGCCGAAGAACACCATCCCAACCGTGAAGCACGGGGGTGGCAGCATCATGCTGTGGGGGTTGGGGGTGCTTTGCTGCAGGAGGGACTGGTGCACTTCACAAAATTGATGGCATCATGAGGAAGGAAAATTATGTGGATATATTGAAGCAACATCTCAAGACATCAGTCAGGAAGTTAAAGCTTGGTTGCAAATGGATCTTCCAAATGGACAATGACCCCAAGCATACTTCCAAAGTTGTGGCAAAATGGCTTAAGGACAACAAAGTCAAGGTATTGGAGTGGCCATCACAAAGCCCTGACCTCAAACCTATAGAAAATGTGTGGGCAGAACTGAAAAAATTGTGTGCGAGCAAGGAGGCCTACAAACTTGACTCAGTTACACCAGCTCTGTCAGGAGGAATGGGCCAAAATTCACCCAATTTATTGTGGGAAGCTTGTGGAAGGCTACCTGAAACGTTTGACCCAAGTTAAACAATTTAAAGGCAATGCTACCAAATACTAATTGAGTGTATGTAAACTTCTGACCCACTGGGAATGTGATGAAATAAATAAAAGCTGAAATAAATCATTCTCTCTACTATTATTCTGACATTTCACATTCTTAAAATAAAGTGGTGATCCTAACTGACCTAAAACAGGGTATTTTTACTAGGATTAAATGTCAGGAATTGTGAAAAAATGAGTTTAAATGTATTTGGCTAAGGTGTATGTAAACTTCCGACTTCAACTGTATTACTGATGGATGACCACAAGGAGAGACTCAATAAATGTACTGTCTGTCCATCTATTAGATGTAGGAGAGCGAGGTAGTCAGATGTCCGGTGGTGAGAAGCAGCGAATCGCTATCGCCAGAGCTCTGATCAGAGAGCCACAGGTCCTCATCCTGGACGAGGTCACCAGCGCACTGGACACTGAGAGTGAACACATGGTACGACATCCCTCCTCACATAAACTAGATAGCTTTAGCCTTCCATCATTCATACTCTCAATATGGTTAGTGATAGCGGTTTCACGTACGTTGCAATAGCTAGCATTGACATTCTCAATAGGGTTAGCGCTAGCTAGCGGTTTCACTCAGATGTTCCCTCTGTCTCAGGTCCAGGAGGCCCTGGCTAGCTGCCCCTCCCAGACCCTGTTGGTGATTGCTCATAGGCTGAAGACCATCGAGAGGGCAGATCAGATCATTCTGATTGACCAGGGGACCGTCATGGAGCAGGGCACTCACCAGGAGTTGATGGACAGGAAGGGGAGCTACTACAAACTAAAAAAGAGACTCTTCATGGAAGACGACATGTCACATTGACCAAAGCAATGCTACTGTTTCAACTGTAAATATTGATGTAATTTTCTCACTCTCACCAATTTACTGTAAATTTACATTTTACTCTAATCCATTGCGATTTACAGTTAGTGAGTGCATACATTTTCATACTGGTCCCCCGTGGGAAACGAACCCACAACCCTGGCATTGCAAGCGCCTTGCTCTACCAACGGAGCTACACGGGACATACGCATCATGACAGTGACAAGTGTAAAGCCAAATTGATTTGAATATAGTCAGAAATCATTTTCTCTTTAGAGATTGAAACTTCTGTTAGTTCCATTTTAGATTGTTGTGTGAGTTGTTTTTATTTTATTGCATTGCACTGTATTCTTTCCTAACCTTTATTTTGTAAAAAAAAAAAGAGAAGGAAATGTTTGATTAAAAGTATGAAAAAATAAAAAATAAACAAAAAATAAACAACTCACTAACTGTAAGTTGCTCTGGATAAGAGCATCTGCTAAATGACTAAAATGTAAAATGTAAGGGCAGTGATTGGCCCAAGCTATCTATTGTTCTTCTGTGCCCCAGTTGACTGTAAAACCATTTATGGAGCAAAGGTCTATTATGTTGCCTATCCAAGAGAAGAAATGAGTGTAGTATCCGTAAGACTTGTCTGTGTAGCCTAAGCATTGGCCTAGACTAGAGTTTTGGAAAGTCCCTGAAGGCCCGTCCGTGGTAATTTGCCGATGTTTTTGGCAGTCTGCCTGTCTGCATGTCAGTACTCCACCTCCCCCTACATAGACCTTAGGCGATACTGGCAACCATTTTATCACAAGATCTGCCCCTAGTATACATCACCATGAAATGGCGGCAGTCGAGTCTCATACCAGTATTGAGCATTTCCTTTTGAGAATCCTTAACACTGATCTGGAAAACACTCTGTGCATGTGTCTTGCAGGTGATTTGAAGTATTCACTTGGTCAGTGTCTTGTGAGAGTCTCTGCTCACCTTTATTTTTTGTGCATCTGTAGCACTGGTGCAGACAGACATTCATCATCGAGTCAATCAAATCATCAATGATCCATGCCGAATCAGTTGGCTTGCAATCACACCCAATGATGTATACAAACCCTGGATTGCTGATGCTATGTATTGGCGATTGAGACGCTTTGAAGCCACCATCAGCCATATTGGCACTCCCCAGAAGGAGCAGTCCTCCATAGGAATGAATGGAATTCTACAGTATTTCAATTAAATGTTTCAAGGACAAAATTACATGTATTTAAGTATTTTCTGTTGTAATGGGGACAGTAACATTAGTAATCAAAAATATATATACTTTAAGAAAACAATATCTATATATTTTGTATTATGTTTAGCTCACATAATATAATTTAAAAGTATGCATGAAGGTGTCTGTAATACAATACATGTGGGAAAAACGAATGTAGACATTCATAAATGCATTTTCTATAGCTTGCAAATATTTTTTACAAGGGTGGGGGAGTGCCAGGATGGAGGCACGGCGGCTTCAACACAGCGCCTCTTAATTCTCATCTAGTGTATATATAACTCATTCATCACACCATGTTGGAAAGTCCCTTCTGCCTTTGCTTTCACTTTCACTTCAGTACACCACTTCACCAAGCAACACCAAACCAAGCCAAGCGCTGGGTCTTGTGACTGCTATTGAGGCTTTGATATACAATATCGCTGTTCAACAAGGACACCTTATCTGGTTGTAATAAATAATAGGCTGCATTATATTACATTAAACAGACTTGCTCTGGTGTAGATATTTGAGAAAAGCAAATTAAGCACAACTTCATAGCCCCATCATCACCATCACCAAAGGTAATCCATGTTACCATGACGACTTGACACAGAAGAGGATATCAAACATGCTGATGGTGGTGAACGAACCGCAGAGTTGAACTGTTATGAGGAACCAGTTTGCATGCAGACACAGAGGATATGGCAAACACCAAACCAAACTAGGCAGATGATCTAAGAGATCTTCCTGTTTGGCCAGAGTTAATGTAAGGATGACACTTACGGTTGCCCTGTGTTAAAGCCAGTGGTGGAAAAAGTACCCAATTGTTATAAAGAGTAAAAGTAAAGATAACTTAATTGGAAATGACTCAAGTAAAAGTGAAAATCACCCAGTAAAATTGTACTTGAGCTAAAGTTTAAAAGTATTTGGTTTTAAATATACTTAAGTATCAAAAGTACAAGTAAAAGTATAAATATTTTCACATTCCTTATATTAAGCAAACCAGACAGCACGATTTTCTTGTTTTTTTAAAATGTATGGGTAGCCAGGGGCACAACACTCAGACGTCATTTACAAACAAAGCATTTGTGTTTAGTGAATCAGAAAGATCAGAGGCAGTAGGGATGATGAGGGCGCAGTGGTCTAAGGCACTGCATCGCAGTGCTAGCAGTGCCACTAGAGAATCCAGGCTCTTTCGTAGCCGGCCGCGACCGGGAGACCCATGGGGCGACGCGCAATTGGCCCAGGGTAGGGGAGGGAATGGCCGGCAGGGACGTAGCTCCGTTGGTAGAGCATGGCGTTAGCAACGCCAGGGTTGTGGGTTCAATTCCCACGGGGGGCCAGTATAAAAAAAATTAAAAAGAATGTATGCACTCACTAACTGTCAGTCGCTCTGGATAAGAGCAACGGAAAAGGATCTTCTTTTGATTAGTGCATGAATTTGAAAAAATGTCTGTCCTGCTAAGCATTCGAAATGTAACAACTACTTTTGGGTGTCAGGGAAAATGTATTGAGTAAAAGGTACATTATTTTCTTTAGGAATGTAGTGGAGTAAAAGTAAAAGTTGTCAAAAATATATATATTAGTACAGAAAACAGATACCTCAAAAAACGACTTAAGTAATACCTTAAAGTATTTTTACTTAAGTAATTTACACCACTGGTTAAAGTTTCAGTAACCTAGATAGCCTAGACTGGACCATTTCACTGAATTTTTTGTACCTGCAGCAGCCGCAATTGCCAAAGTCCATTTCAGTTACAGTAACTGAAAAGGCTTTCCAATGTAAGATATCACCATGATATCATATGATATAGTGGACCTAGCATTATCCAGCTACAGTTATTTGATCGTCCTGATTTCTGACTAAGACACAGTAGTATTATGCACTATTATAGATTTGATACCAGCCTTTTCCACCTCCTGAGAGGGAAGAACTTAGTATTACATGCTTGTGGGGTGTGTCAGGTAAACTCCAGATGTGTTGTTGTAAACCCCCTAGATTTCCCTGAGGACAGCACATGTTTATTGGCCCTTATTGGTTCATCACCTTACAAGATGACATGCAGTTTCCTGTCTCATTACAAAAGAACGTGAATGTTTTTGCGGGAATTGAGTTGAATTAAGGATTAGTTAGGGAGTTGAGCCCAATTATGTATATAATAAACCCTGGATTGCTGATGCTATGTATTGGCCATTGAGAGGCTTTGAAGACACCGGTTGGCCATATTGGCACTCCCAAGTAGGAACAGTCCTCCATAGGAATTAATGGAAATATACAGTATTTCAATTACATGTTTCAAGGACAAAATAACATGTATTTAAGTATTTTTTTGGTTGTAGTGTGGACAGGAACATTAGTAATCTCAAAACATTATACTTTAAGGAAATTGTTTGTATATATTTTTTCATGTTTTATTTGAATGTTTAGCTCACATAATATAAGTATGCATTAAGGTGTATGTAATAGAATAAATGTTGAAAAAATGAATGTATACATTAATAAATGAATTTCTATAGCTTCCAAAATATTTTTTACAATGGTGGGGGAGTGCCAAGATGGAGGTACAGTGGCTTCAACACAGCGCCCCCTATCGGTCATCTAGTGTATATATAAATCATTGGTTGCGCCCCACACAGGTAAGGTATCTCAGCACACTGCCCCCACCACGTGATATCAAAGAATTGAAACTCAGATCTGGAATTAGGTCACGGAGCAAGAAGGGGAGGGAACTGGCACAATAACAAAATTGAGGACAATCTCAAGAGATAGTCAACTGCTGTTTTGGCTAATAAAAGTTGGCGTTGGCTACATGCAAGAACTGTTTTGCTTCAGAAAATTCCATAGTTGCCGGTTTCCTTATTTCCTGGCTCATCAGATCCTGATCCTTCCCTGCTTCCCTAGTAACTGGTTATCTAATAGCAGGCAAGTCATAGTTGGGAACTCCCAAAACTACTGCTAGGAGTTAAGAGCATTGAGGTATAAAATAATGGTTAGTGCTATCCGGGATCCTTGGGTCATCCCTACCCTAAACCCTAATCCTTCAATGGGGCGATGACAGAGTTGGAACAACTCAAGAATCGAGTTTAGACTTTTACATTAAATAAAAGTTATGAGGAACAAATATATGGCCTTTGCTGCTATTTAGTCAGTGGATGAAGTTGGATTTAGGCAAACAACCACATTATTGCCTAAATGTGGCTACGTTTTTGTGACACAAATTCCGAAACAATCATAGAAAAAACTTATTTTACATTTTGAAATGGTGAAGAGGTCAAGGGCTTTGTGTTATGTGGGGAAATTACCGGAAGTCACAGGTGGAGAAAGCAAAGAGAGGCAGCACAGATGTGGCTATTATTTTAGGTCAATCACATCCCTTAATGGCAGCTTTCAAAATAATTAATTGTTGAATTAAGGACTCTTTTTACAATGATTGGGCAGGGGTAGAGATTGTAGATCATCTCAAATCCCTGTATATTCAGATGTCTGTGTAGGCCTATAGTTACTCTGTGAATATAAAGGGACGAATGAGCTGAATATCCAACTCTTCCTGTAAATTTGTTTATCTTTATGCCATGTTAGATGATGTATATACAGTATATTTCCATCTTATCATTTTTAATTCTCCCTCGACCCCAACTTTATTTAAGGATATACAAGCTGAGGAACAAGGAGAGGATCTCAGTATCTGCTGCCTCTAAGCTCCTTGCCAACATGGTGGTCTCCATGGACACAATGATATGTGGCTGGGACAAGAAGGCAAGTTAAAGTTAGGTACT